TCACTGTAGTTCTCCTCTCGACGGACTACATTTCTGTAGCAGCTCCTTGTTGCTATTACTACAACTCGTTCCCTTTAAGCTCGGTCATCCCTTATCAGTGGTTAAGGCCATCCTCTACGTGCTTGGTTTCCAATGTCGTCACCTGGTAACGATCTCGGCATTCAAAAGAAGGATCTGTCGCTCATTGAAGAGCAAGCAAGAGCAGATGCTATTGCTGCTGGAATGGACGACGATGCTACTCAGTACCACATACGGTTGGCCATTGACCATGCCAGAGATTACAACGACCTCTTTGACGCCTTGTCAACTCGGGCTGAGGCTGGTTCTGTACGCCCTCAGGCTCCAGTTATCGACCGTGGCCACAAGGAGGAACTTCGTGTCAACCTGCAAATGCCTGAACGATACAATGGTACCACCGACTTTGCCGCATGGTTGAGACGCTATGAGAACACTGCTAATGCTGCCGGTTGGACTTCGGCTACGAAGGCTTCTCGCTTAGGAATGTACCTTACCGATGAGTTCTACGAGATGTGGGATCAGTACGCCCCTAAGCAGACCTTCGAGGAGGACGGTCGGATCATGCTGCAGATGCTGGCTCGTCGTCCAGCGGATGCTCTCTTGGACAACTTTCATGATCTTCGGTGGGCTCCTGGTACTAACGTCGGTACGTTTCTGGCACGTGCTCGACGTATGTTGACCGAATACAATAAGAAGTTAACTGATGATAAGAAGCTCTCTAACGCTTCCCTCGACCAGATGATCCTCAACAAGTTGATCGCCTTGGCCCCAGCTTCAGCGAAGGCGGAGCTGAGACGACGTCAGCCTACCCGCATTGAGGAAATGGTTGACATCATCAGCGACTACGCCCCGGCTACTGACCTGACTTCGGCTTCGAGCCCTGCTTTGCAACAAGTCGAAGCCAAGTTGCAGAAGGTTCTAGCAGCAGTGACGACTTCTACTTCTCCGGCAGACAATCTATTGCAACAACTTACCGATAAGATACAAGGTATCGAGAAGCAGTTACAGGATCCTCAAAGTCGCCGACCATGGATTCGTCGACCGGGAGTCTGTGGTATCTGTCGAGGCAATCATGCTACTAAGGATTGCCCCGAGAAACGATTCGGTTCTGGTTGTTATCTATGTGGAAAAGAGGGTCATCTTGCAAGAAATTGTCCTAGTCGACAAGGCACCGGCACTAGGCCCGGACCTTCGTCGTCGGGAAACTAACTCGGCGGTTGACGAGGGGTCCTCAACCGCCGGACCCTACGGTATATCTCTGTACGTTCGGCGCAGAGATTGGTTTATTTTCACATGCTGAACTCCTGACCGATGTTCAAGTTACCCCGCCGTTGAAGGCCTGTTTCGATACGGGTAGCTGTTTTTCCTTGGTTGATCGTAAGTATCTTCCAAGTGGTACTGTTATATTTCCTTGTATTAATATTGATCTGGTGACTATTGAAGGGAAGCCATTCCCTATCTCTGGAATCTCGAGGTTGAGGCTGCGTTTATATGATTCACCGACACTTACGTTTGATTCATCATTGCCTCACGAGACCTTTGAGATGATTTTCCTCGTTGTCGATAGTCTTGCTTTCGACATGATCCTTGGCCATGATTTTATGGCACATTTTTCCCTGCATCCGACTTATGCAGGTCGACCCTTTGCTATAGCCGGAAGTCCAACTACACGGTCTGCCCCACCATTGCCGTCGGGTACCTCGACAGTGTTAGGTGGTACTTCCCCTATTTCGTTTGACAAGACTCCATGTGAAGAAGCAAGCTCCTGTAAAACTCCGACGAAGGATGACGACGAGCGACTTGCCTGTTCTTCTGAGTCTATGATGTCTGATGCTGCAATTTTCCGCTCTGTTCCCCAACAAGCCCAGTTGATCGACTTCAAGATCAAAGGTCTCGACGTTGTCTTCGGTAAACCTGTGGTTGGTGCTGTTGCTCCTGCGAATGATTGGGTTAACTATCCTAAGTTCTCGACAATAACAACAACTGGTTTAGAAGACGTCGAACAGTGGCCCGGACTCAATGCCACTACTGATATGCTCCAAGATGATGACCTTGCTATGACCTTGGATTATGCTGTCCCTGACTTTCACGACGAGAAGGTCACTCTCCCAATCTTTGATGTGTCTAAACCTGAGACTCAAAGATATCGTGCCCTTTGTGAAGAGTACAGCTCACTCTTTGTCAATAAGCCTGGTCATTGTGATCTTGTGGAGCATTGTATCCCCGTTACCGACGAGGTTCCTATTGCTGAGAGAACCCGCCCCTTGCCACATAAATGGCGTGCGGAAATATCAGCGCAACTTGAAGAGTTGGAGCGTGATGGTCTCATTGTCCGTTCGACTTCCCCGTACAAATTCCCTTGTGTCTTTGTACCGAAGAAAAACGGTAAGGTCCGCATGTGTGTGGATTATCGGTCTTTGAATAAGGTTGCCAAAGTGGATTCCTACCCGTTACCACGACCCGATGACGTACAAGAACACTTATCTGGGGCCAGTGTCTTTTCGATTCTAGATTTGAGAAGTGGATACTGGCAGATGAAGGTCCGACCTTCGGATCGTCACCGCACGGCGTTCTGTCCCGGCCCCGGATTTCCTCTCTTTGAGTGGGTTCGGATGCCTTTCGGACTCTCTAATGCCCCAGCTAGCTTTCAACGGCTTATGGACCTTGTACTGGGAAGATTCAACTTTGTTCGTATCTATCTGGACGACATCTTGATCTTCTCTCGTTCCGAACAAGAACATCTACACCATCTGAAGCTGGTCTTTGATGCTCTTCGTGAAGCCGGGTTGACCTTAGCTGGAGACAAGTGTTCTATTGGCATGGACTCGGTTACGTACCTTGGACATCGATTCTCTGCTCAGGGTATGTCCCCCGATCGAGCAAAGGTCGACGTTATTGAGTCGTGGCCAACACCCCGAACAGCGACTGATCTACGAAGCTTTCTTGGCTTGGCCGGTTACTACCGTCATTTTATTCCGCATTTTTCGGATCGTGCTAAAGTCCTACAACAGCTTCAGACGACCTGCAGCAAGGATGACGTTACGGTGACCGACCTTTGGACTGAAGACCATTCGGTAGCGTTCGTGGATATTAAGAAAGCCCTTGCCGATCTTCCATTCTTGGATTATCCTGACTTCAATCGACCTTTTGAGATGGCCTGTGATGCGTCTCACTATGCTATTGGTGGCGTCTTAGAACAAGATGGTAGACCTCTAGCTTTCTATAGCCAGACTTTGACTGGTTCTCAGTTGAACTGGCCGGTTTACGAGAAGGAAGCTTACGCCCTTCTCAAGTGTCTCGATCGGTTTCGACACCTTCACTATGGGTATAAACTTCGAGTAACGGTCTATTCGGATCATCGACCTCTACAATGGTTGAAAACGGCGACTTCGACGAAATTACAACGATGGTTACTGGCCCTACAACAATATCAATTCGATGTTGTGTATATCCCTGGTAAACAAAACACTCGTGCTGATGCTCTATCACGAGTTCGTCAACCTCAACCAGTGGTGAATGATAAGCCGACTGTCGTTCCCCGACCTGTTGGCGTGGTTACTCTGCACGAAGCCTTCTCTAAGGACGATATTCTCCGAGCTCAAAAGGCAAGCCCGATTATTCGTCAACTGTATACACGGCTGCTCGACGCCCAGCCTTTGCGTAGGAATGAGCTTGCGGCTATGGAATTCCGTCCGTACCGGCGTGTATGGAAGACTTTGGGTATCGCTGACGGTTTGGTTGTTCGAGAACGTTCACCTTCGGTTTATACTGGTCTACGCTGGGT